TCTCTATATATATATATATATATATATATATATAGAGAGAGAGAGAGAGAGATCGACTAAGAAGATGGACGGAATACATATATATATATATATATATGCGTTGTATCTCTTCTTCAACGCCGACGCATTTAAAAGTGAGGGCCAAAGACCTGGAATTATTGGGATACATCAAAACCCAAAAGCTTCAAGTAGGCAAGTAAAGCTACCAATCCGTCGCTGCTACCTTAATCGACTAGGTACTGCTCTGTCTTTGATTCAAATCTAGTTAAAAGACAATACTATTTCACCATCGGCGGCGGCCACCTCTTCTCTCTATTTCATCCGATGGTTGGATATATCAGTTTATACTCTGTGCACTTATGACAACCAACGACACAGACTCGAAATCCTCTTGAATTAAAGAAAGAATATAGATTTTACCCGATGGGTGCAGGACGAAGGGGGTCGTCGACAGTGGTGCTTCGGGTTCTCCATCTCCCCTCCTACCCCCTTGCGTTTCTATTTCAATTCTCTGGCTTTACATCTCCAGCCTAGCTCCATGGCCAGCCTCCAGGGTTTGACGAAGGGAGAAAATGAGTGGGGTGGCTAGAAACAAAGGAACCAAATAGGAGGTGTTATACCAGAGGAGAGAATACTTCTCTGAATCCATAGGAATGAGGTGGGGCATGTACAAATCATAGACGATGGCGTGTTTGAGAAGCTGTGAAGAGGTCTCATCGGTGGTGGCGTGCTCAAGCAACTCTAAAGATTTTGAAACTTGGAAAAACATGCCGAAGTGATTTTTTTATACTTGGAAGACGACTGAATCGGTGGCTTGTGATTGTGGATTTTAGGGTGAGGCCTTGAATGAATACATAACAAAAGGATAGAACGACTAAAATGGCGACCTGTGCCTGCGGAGTTTGGGGTAAGGCTGGCTAGGGTAGGTGTCCCGGAGACGGCAATGACTTCGTCTTGACCTGGGTGCGAGAAAGTTCAACTCACCTTTTCCAGTAAACGACAAAATATGAAACAGTAGTAGAAACTTAAGCCAATAAAGCGTACTCACGTTTTATATGTAAAAGTTTATATGTAAAAGAATTATGTAATGGATGAATATGTTAGGATTTTGAATGAATGTGTTTTTTTAGTTGATTTTAATGCTTCTCTAGCTTTAATTGTGCTTTATTAAGTCGCCCTAATCTACTCTACAAGCGTACTTGAGCTTCTACGCTGGGTATGGAGTTCTAGGGTTATACGGGTATGCGCCATCTGGCATATTAGGGTTAGATGAATGAATAGGATCTTGTGGTGGACAAGGCGATCGAAGGCCTGCCATAAGAATGCCTTACTAGATGGAACCCAGGATAAAACCTCGGTGTGAATGGTGGGTAGTACCCATTGAAAGGAGCTATGTTCTTAAAACCTCAGATACGATAGCCTAGATTGAGGTGACTGGCATGAGTTTAGGGGAGGCGTGTGGATAATCACGACGACCCATGGAAAAGAGCTCACTCACCACATTCGCTTAACCCAACTTATTTAGACATTGCATGATAGACCTAGGCTAGGGTGATGGATAGTTCCCCAAAGTACTTGCTTTTATCCTTGTTTATTCTCTTCTCCCTGGTAATTATTTCACTTGAATCCTCCTACACAACCCCCTTTAAACCGATCGACTACATAACAACAACGTGGGAAGTTGGCTAGGGTACCGGGACCCAAGTAAATACGACATTGATTGCCACTATATGACAAAAACATTTTAGGTTAAACTTGGCCTAGGATGGAGTAATTATTGACACGTGCAAACTAATGACAATGATCCGCACGGAATGAATCGATCACTCCTCTACTTTGGCATCCGCACTCATTCTCTCTCACTCCTAGTCGCTTTGGTTCGAGTTACACCAATTTGAGCTTCTAGGACGCGTAAAAGAGATCAAAATCCTTTGACAAAACAAAAGCATCACTTGGAATGTTTTTATGAGATTAATATAAATTTTAATGCCTAATTCGATGGTAGTCTAACCAGTTTATACCATTATACATGTTTGACAAGTGGTATGGTATGAACGGTGGTACAATCAGTTTATGCCAGTCCATACCGAATAAAAAAAACACATCTAGGGAGGTAGCAAATTATTAACACTAAATGTAATTAGGCATATATATATATATATATAAAGACAATTTCTTTAAAATATAAACTCATATTTAAATAAAATACAACATTCAAACAAAATGGAAAATATCATATTTAAATACAACATTTAACACAAATATCCAAAAATTACACTTGAATCCAACAAATAACATAAACATCTAAACATTCATAATTGAATTCAACAAATAACATCAACATTTAACTTTCAAACTCAAGAAATAAATCAATTTTTTTTATTAATTAAGTTCACCAAAATACATCATTTTGTTTAAAGGTTGAAAATCATTCATGCTGATGACCTTTTGGTATTTTCTGATGGTTCAAACTATGGCATTCAGAGTGTGCAGAGGGTTCTGAGTGTGTTTCACAAGCTTTCCGGTCTCCAGTCAAATCCTAGTAAATGTGAAGTTTTCTTTGGAGGGTTAGAGAAGGAGGAGATGGTGGTTAGAGCTAGCAGATATGGTTATCAGTTGGGTGGTTTCCTAGTGCGTTATTTAGGAGTGCCTTTAGTGGCTGGGAAACTCACAGTTATTCCGTTAACGCCTGTAAACCACTCATTGACAGAATTACGAGCAGGGTGCAGGGGTGGAAGGCAAAGTCTCTAAACTATGCTGGCAGGGTGGAACTAGTTGGCTTTGTCCTGTTTAGTATGACACAGTATTGGATGAGTGTCTTTATGCTTCCCAAAATGGTTATTCGTGAGGTTGAAAGAATTTGCAGCAACTTTCTCTGGGCTGTCGGACCTGGGCTTAAGCTTAAAGCGAAAATGGCATGGAAGTATCTGTCTGTCCCTAAAAAAGAAGGCGGTCTTGGTCTGAGGGACCTCACTACTTGGAACTATGCTTGTGTTTTTAGGCAGGTTTGGGCGATAATGTTGCAGCATGGCTCACTGTGGGTAGCTTGGATTCAGGCATATAAGTTGAAAGGTAAGGATTTCTGGACTGTGAATGTGGATGCTTTCTGGAACTGGAAGAAGTTATTTAGCTTGAACAATGGCTTGCTTCTTTGGAATAACAATGCTATGCCAATGAACTCTATTAAGTTGGTTTGGGAAGTTTTTAGGCCAAAGCAAAATGCAGTTAGATGGTATAAACTTCTCTGGAAGGGGACTTCGATCCTTAGAAATAGATTTCTTGTATAACTTATCACACGAAATAAGATACAAACTAAGGATAAGATGAAAAAATGGGGGTTTGTTTGATCAGACCACTGTTTTCTATGTGATCAGCCTGATGAGACAAGAGATCACATGTTCTCTGCCTATTCCTACTATTCTTCTATCCATAAGCTGCTGTTTGGTAAATTTAGCTCTTTCCTTCCGCAAACCTGGGAGGAGAATCTTGATTGGGCTATCAGGAAGTTTGGGGCAAAAACGCCGTGTGCAATGGCAGGACGATTGATTTGGCAGTCACTGGTGAGTCACATTTAGAGGGAGCGTTGTCGAAGAGCTTTTGGTGACAATAACAAGTCCCCTGAAGCTCTGGTTTCCATGGTAAAGAGTGAAGTTAGGGTGATGGTGCAGGACTCGCTGGAGTTTGAAAGATTCTGGCTTGCTGGCTCTTAGAATTTCTGGTCTCTTACCCGAGATTTGTTCCTTTTTTTGTTCTTCTTTGGTAGCTTTACGTACTTGGTTTCTCTATATAGGAGTCTCCTTTCTTTTTGGTTTATTATGGTAGTTTGTTAGATGGTTGCTCGGTTTCCCAGGATCCATACCTAGCTGGCAAGGTTGTTGCCAGTAACTCTTTTTGATGAAATGAAAGTATACCGATTCATAAAAAAAAATCATTCATGCCAATCTGGAAACAATTCCAATCAATTTTTATGACCGGTATCGATTGAACCGATTATACTGGCCGACATACCAACGACATTGACAACCATGCTTAATTGATAATTCCGTAGTTAGCATTAGGGTTGTCCGTCGGTCGATTTTGGTTTAATCAATTTCGGTTAAACCGAGACACTGCTGCGGCTTCCCGCCACTGACCGTCCAGGAGCCTCGGTTAGCCGCAGACCGACCGATCGATTTTCGGTTTCGGCTTGGTTTAACTGGGCAACCGCAAAATGAAGGTCGGTTTGGATGTAAACGCCGGTCTGACCGCTAACCGACCGACCTGGAAAAAAAGTAAAATTAACTCACCACCACAACGAAAACGAGGGTATCAGAATGGCATATGCTTCATCTCTCTCTTTCCCCATATTTTCATGGCTTCCTATGCTTCATCTCTCTCTTTTCCCCTCTTTTTCCTTTTCATACCTAATCAACAGCCCTTCTCTCCCTATCTCTCTCATCTCCTTATTTCTCTCTCCACCATAACCACTACTACTCCCATAAAATTAAGATGAAAGGAAGAAAGCCAAGAGGCAGCGGGGCGACGAGGTGGAGGCGGCGGGGTGGCTGATGGAGGCGATGACGAGTGCGCGGTTGGGCGGCAACGAGGGTGGCTGGTGGAGGCGGCGACGAGCGCGCGATTGGGCGGCGGTGAGGGTTGGAACGCGAGCGGCGGCGGGGTTGTCTGCGCTCTGCGGCGCTGCGTCGCCTGCGCGAGAAGGGGGAAGGGGTTGGTGGACAGCGAAGGCCGAAGGAGAGGGTCTAGGGTTTGAGGGTCGTTGCGGGTCGCTTTGGAGTAAGGGGGAGTGGTCGGTTAGCCGGTTAACCGCCAGTTTCCGACCCCGGTTAGTCGGCTAGGCGAACCTCTTCTTCTCTCCTCCGACAACCGTCCGATGATAGAAAGACGCGGTTTTTGGTTAGCCGAAAACCGTTCGGTTCGGTTGAAACCGTCCGGTTAACTGCTAACCGAAAACCATTCTGCCACCCCTAGTTAGCATAAAGTGCAATACCGTATTCGTTAAACATAAAAGTTCAGTGATCATTTAATTAATAGCTTCAAATTTGATTGACTGATTCTGTAGTTGACCCCACAATAACTTCGTCGCTCTCTTCTCGGCCCAGATCTAGAGAGCTCAGAGTAGAGGGAGAGAGGAACCGCAATACAAATTTCGTCTCTCTACTCTATTTTTTCCTTCGTCTTCCTTCGACTTCATGTCTTCTACCTTCTTCTCTTTTTTGCTCCGTTGATCTTACGGCTTTACTCCCTAAAAAGCAGTTGACGTAATCGCATTTTCGCTCTCTAGTATACCGTCACTGGAGCTCTTGTTCGCCGGCGCTCACTCGCTTTTGGTTGTGGCTGCGATTCTTGTTCGTCCTGCCGATCTTTCTTTTACTGCTCAGATCTAAGGTAAATTCCTTGTGATTTCTTCTGTAAATCGGTTATTTGCAGTGTTAAGGCCATGGATTCTTGTGGATCCTAGTTAGTTGGATTCGGGTGTACTGTTCCCCATTCATGCGAGTTCATGTTTAATCGGAGTGAATTCTCGATGCTGGATGGGGAAGATGTGAAATTTGAGTGTTTTCTCGGTAGTTAAGTCTGAGAATTGGTGCGGGTAAATCGATTGATGCGTTTCTTCAATTAGTTTGAGGTGTAGTTGAATGCCTGATTTCGATCTAACTGGAGCTTGTATTGTTTGTTTGCTTCGCTGTTTCGTTGGTCAAGGAAAGATGCTGACGAAATTCGAGACGAAGAGTAATAGAGTGAAGGGATTGAGTTTCCATTGCAAGAGGCCATGGATCTTGGCCAGTCTCCACAGTGGTGTGATTCAGCTATGGGACTATCGAATGGGGACTCTGATTGACCGGTTTGATGAGCATGATGGCCCGGTTCGTGGGGTTGATTTTCACAGATCTCAGCCTCTGTTTGTCTCAGGAGGTACACCCCTTTCCTGTTATTGTCTGAAGTTGCAGCCTTTACTGAAATGCAGTTGATGTGAACAGGGATCTATGTTTCTTGGATATATGCGCTTATATATCAGCATCTGATATTTCTTTCAATCACTCTTATAGACACTTTGCGTCTTAATAAAAGCTGAAGCAAATATGTAAAATTGGACCAATCAACTTCTGGACGTGGTTTTGGTTTTTGCAGTAAAATGGATGGTGTCGAAGTTTAGTCTAGTAGCTTTCTCTCTTTTCTTTGTTATTAATTGAATTCCGGTCTTTGCAAATGATTCATTTTCAGGCGATGATTACAAGATTAAAGTTTGGAATTACAAGCTGCATAGGTGTCTCTTTACTCTTCTGGGTCACCTGGATTACATCCGTACTGTGCAGTTTCATCATGAAAACCCATGGATCGTGAGTGCGAGCGATGATCAAACTATCCGCATATGGAACTGGCAGTCTCGTACTTGCATTTCTGTGCTGACAGGCCATAATCATTATGTTATGTGTGCCTCATTCCATCCTAAAGAAGATCTTGTTGTGTCAGCTTCTCTGGACCAGACTGTCCGTGTTTGGGACACTGCTGCATTGAGAAAAAAAACTGTGTCTCCTGCTGATGATATCATGCGTTTGGGTCAGCTGAATGGAGATCTTTTTGGTGGTATCGATGCAGTTGTTAAATATGTCTTGGAAGGTCATGACCGTGGAGTAAACTGGGCTTCGTTCCATCCAACACTTCCTTTGATTGTCTCTGGAGCGGATGATCGTCAAGTGAAGTTATGGCGTATGAATGGTAAGCTGTGTTGTTGATGGCTACTGATACTGTGTTGTTTGTAAAGATTTCTTCAATATGGTCCTGATATTTGATATATTTTAAGACGTGATTTTATGTGCCATATATTACTTTATAATTATCGTGCTACACTTTCCACAAAATTTGAGAAAGATTTGTAATGCAAGTCTCTTATATATATATCAAATAACTGCTTTCACTTATTAACGGATGGAACTGCTCTAGAAGTGACATGTTATTCCTGTTTCAGATACAAAGGCATGGGAAGTGGACACTTTGAGGGGGCACATGAACAATGTTTCGAGTGTTATGTTCCATGCCAAGCAAGATATCATCGTGTCTAATTCAGAGGACAAAAGTATTCGAGTTTGGGATGTAACTAAGAGAACTGGGCTTCAAACTTTCCGTCGCGAGCATGACCGGTTCTGGATCCTTGCTGCTCACCCTGAGATGAATCTTCTTGCTGCTGGTCATGACAGTGGCATGATTGTGTTCAAGTTGGAGAGAGAAAGGCCTGCTTTTGCTGTGAGCGGCGACTCTCTGTTTTATGCAAAGGATCGGTTTCTGCGCTTTTTTGAGTATTCCAGTCAGAAGGAAAACCAGGTAATTCCCATCAGGCGACCTGGTACCACAAGCTTGAATCAGAGTCCAAGAACTCTTTCTTACAGCCCTACAGAGAATGCAGTTCTTTTGTGCTCAGATGTGGATGGGGGGTCCTATGAGTTGTATATCACTCCAAAGGATAGCTTTTCGAGGGGCGATACTGTACAGGAAGCAAAGAGAGGGGCAGGGGGTTCAGCTGTCTTCATTGCCCGAAATAGGTTTGCGGTGCTAGACAAAAGCAGCAATCAAGTGTTAGTCAAGAACCTAAAGAATGAGGTGGTTAAAAAGAGCGGTCTTCCCATTGCTACAGATGCAATTTTCTATGCAGGGACTGGGAATGTGCTTTGCAGAGCTGAGGATAGGGTGATCATCTTTGATCTTCAGCAGAGACTTGTGATTGGGGAGCTTCCCACACCTTTTGTGAAGTATGTTGTTTGGTCCAATGACATGGAAACTGTTGCCTTATTGAGCAAGCATGCAATTGTAATTGCAAATAAAAAGCTTGTTCATCAATGCACCCTTCATGAAACAATCCGTGTAAAGAGTGGAGCCTGGGACGACAACGGTGTTTTCATATACTCCACTCTAAACCACTTCAAATATTGCCTTCCGAATGGTGATAGTGGTATAATCAAAACCCTTGAGGTCCCACTTTACATTACTAAGGTCTCTGGAAATACTATCATGTGTCTGGATAGAGATGGGAAGAATAGGGCTATTGCCATTGATGCTACAGAGTACATGTTCAAACTTTCTCTTTTCAAGAAGAGATATGATCATGTTATGAGCATGATTAGGAACTCGCAGCTGTGCGGTCAGGCCATGATTGCTTATCTGCAGCAGAAGGGATTCCCTGAAGTTGCTTTGCATTTTGTCAAGGACGAAAGGACCCGATTCAATTTGGCTCTAGAGAGTGGGAACATACAGATTGCTGTTGCTTCAGCTAAGGAAATTGATGAAAAAGATCATTGGTACAGGCTAGGAGTTGAAGCCCTTCGCCAGGGAAATACTGGTATTGTTGAATATGCCTATCAGAGAACCAAGAATTTTGAGAGGTTGTCCTTCTTGTATTTGATAACGGGGAATCTGGAGAAACTGTCAAAAATGTTAAAAATTGCTGAGGTCAAGAACGATGTCATGGGCCAGTTTCACAATGCTCTCTACTTGGGTGACATTCAGGAGCGTGTGAAGATCCTCGAGACTGCTGGCCAAATACCCCTAGCATACATAACAGCTAAACTGCATGGGCTGGAGGAAGTAGCTGAGCGCTTAGCAGCTGAATTAGGAGATAACATTCCATCTTTGCATGAGGGTAAAGTTCCTTCTCTTCTCACACCTCCAACCCCAATCACCTGTTCTGGTGATTGGCCTCTACTGAGAGTAATGAAAGGTATATTTGAAGGGGGTCTTGAAAATGCAGCCAGAATTGATGATGATGAAGAAGAAGCCGCTGAAGGTGATTGGGGTGAGGAACTGGAAATGGTTGATGCAGATGGTTTACAGAATGGTGATGTCACAGCTGCTTTGGAGGATGGTGAAGCAGCTGAAGACAACGATGAGGAAGGAGGTTGGGATCTTGAAGACTTGGATCTGCCTCAAGAGGCCGACACACCGAAAGCTTCTGTTACTGCTCGGTCTTCAGTTTTTGTGGCTCCAACTCCCGGAATGCCTGTCAGTCACATATGGACTCAAAAGTCATCACTTGCTGCTGAGCATGTGGCGGCTGGCAATTTCGATACTGCTATGAGATTGCTCCATAGGCAGATTGGAATTAAGAATTTTGACCCATTGAAATCTATGTTCCTTGATCTTTACACTGGAAGTCAGTCTTACTTGCGTGCTATCTCAGCAACTTCGGTGGTAGCACTAGCGGTTGAACGGTGGAATGAGTCTGCAAGCCCCAACGTAAGAGGTGGTCCAGCACTGATATTCAGTTTTGCGGATTTGGAAGAGAAGTTGAAGGCTGGTTATAAAGCCACCACAGCTGGGAAATTTACGGAGGCTTTGAAGCTCTTCCTTATCATTCTTCACACAATTCCTCTTATTGTTGTGGAGACAAGGAGGGAAGTTGATGAAGTCAAAGAGCTGATTATTATTGTTAAGGAATATGTTCAGGGGCTACAGATGGAACTCAAGAGGAGGGAAATGAAGAACGACCCTGTTCGTCAACAAGAGCTTGCTGCTTACTTTACCCATTGCAACCTTCAAACCCCTCACTTGAGACTAGCTTTGTTGAATGCAATGACGGTCTGCTACAAGGCGAAGAACTTTGCTACAGCTGCTAACTTTGCTAGGCGGCTTTTGGAGACTAACCCACCAGTTGAGAATCATGCAAAGACAGCGAGGCAAGTGCTGGCAGCTTCTGAGAGGAACATGACGGATGCTACTCAGCTGAGCTATGATTTCAGGAATCCGTTTGTTGTGTGCGGTGCTACTTATGTTCCGATATACCGAGGACAAAAGGATGTATCTTGCCCTTACTGTTCTGCCCGATTTGTTCCTGACCAAGAGGGGCAGATTTGTGCTGTCTGTGGTCTTGCTGTTGTTGGGGCAGATGCTTCGGGCTTGATATGTTCATCCTCTCAAATACGGTAATCAAGATGTTGAACTAGCACCGGGTTTCCTGGTCACTTTTCAGCCCAGCCTGAACTGTGAGAGGCGGAGTTTCGGAGTAATATTTACTTCAGGCCGGGTGTATAGATAGGAAGTGATGGAAACTGAGCGAGTAAAACTTCCTGAGCTGTTTTTCCCCTTACCCACTTATGTTGCTGCCTTGTTTTTCCAAAATATCTTACTTTTAGTTCGGTTTCTTGGATGTAATAAACCAACTTTGAGAATTTTGGAGCAACTCTCTATTCATGGTAGCTTGTTGATAGAGTTGGTCAAGATTGATGATGCCCATATTGGTTTTGACTACTTAAATGATGGTTGTTGTTATTGGGTTGTTTGCAAGTCTAAGCTCAGTCGCTTTATGCATTCTTCTTATACACCGTTGTTTATTATCAGCAGTAGTTGCTGGGCCACATTTCCGTTGTGTCCAAGTCGAAATGTGGAACCTCGTGTGGGTTATTTGCTTTACCTTCTTGGTGCTCGATACATAGGAACTAACGCCTGGCTTGCCATCTATAGGAGTACAACAGTCGAAAGACGATATCTTTCTGTGATATTGAGGACTATTCAGTCCAACTCCAACAGCGACATCTGCCAGAAAGAAGTTGGATGTCGCCTTAACGGTTTTCGCCTGCTTAGGTACATTTGCTGCCGTTTGAATGGAAATATGGGGTGTCTGGCGGGGGACGATGGGGATTGCGATTTTGGTATTAAACTGTTGTTGACTAGGCATGCTTACTGCTTGAATGAAAAGTTATGCGGAAAAAAAGTGTATCGTCATATTGCATAGTTACGATCGTGTGAAGTTCCGATTTATAGCGGATATTCTAGATCGGATTGCATAGTTACACTCGTATGAAGTTCTAATGTATATTAGGCTAGGCGGATATTGCTGGAGTCTCCAGTGATTTTGGGGCAACATTTTGTTAAATCGCCACAACTGCGTGAAAGCTACTCGCTAGTGATGAAAACATTTCTGAGTGTCGCCAAGATCTCCAACTGCAATGCACTCAGGTTTATGTTCAACACACCTTTCCAGGCTTCCCAGTATTCCAGCAACTACAAATAGCTGTGGACATGAAGGTCACTGGATTACCCATAGAAAGAGTTGCCAACTAAACCCATTAGCATGAAGGAATATTAGAGTGCTTCGTATCTATGGATAAAGGTGGAGACAAAGAACTGGTGGCTGCAGGCCATGGACATGGACATCAACAGCAACAACTGCCAAAATGAAGTAAAGTGCATCTAAGGTAGGTCTCTTATGTGCGCAAGATAATCCGCGGGAGGGGTGGAGCTTCCACATTAGAGGTGATCTCCTTGATCTACAAAAAAGATTCAGCCCAATTGCCGCCTTGGAATCGGTCAGAATATCATCAGAGGATGAACATGGAGAATGCTGCTGTGATTACCCAAGAGCAGAAGGAGAATGTAACAATGATTGAGGTTACCATCACAGATATTTTGGCGGTAGATCAATGAAACTTTAGTCAACACTAAGGCCAACGAGATCAATGTGATTAATTTGCAACCATAGCTGCTAAAACATTACAAGGTTCAAAGAACATTGTACAACAAATTCTTCAAGCAGAAGCCTTGTCAGAAAATAAAACAATACTCCGAATGCAATCGACACTGGAAGTGCTGGCAAAGCCTGCTGATAAAGTGCCAGCAGCATCAATGTAACACCCAGACCGGCTATAATAGCTAGATAACATGCATACACAGTCATGAAATCATACATAGCAGCTCTTCCAACCAACACACTGTAGAAAATGAAGTCACCTAGCCCCAGCTTTATCGCACCACTCGATCCCAGACCAATACCTTCGAGAAAGCTATTATCAGTAGATGCGACACTACTTTCCTGCCCATCCGCCGCAGAACTAACTCTATTCTGAATCAAAGGAGCAGTAACCTCCGCATCACTAGTTACTATGTTGTGATCGGATTCGGAATCATTTCCCGATTCTCTACGTCGTCTCCACGCCCTCCTTTGCCCTTCATATTCCCGGGATCCTTGATCATGGTTGATAACAGGTCGAGCCTCGTAAACCAGAGCAGGGATATCCTCATCTCTAGATATAGCAAGCTCTACAAGTAATCTCAATGGGCCAACGGGTAACAGAACCGCTGCAAGATCGTACAATGCCAGAGCAACCAGCAGAACCCAAGTAGTCCATTCAGGGAGCAGAGTGAACCAGTAAGCAACAAGCATCCCAATGGCGACCAAGTAACCTTGTGTCACAATGATGGCCATTTTGGACAAGAACACGGCAAAAACACCCACGGCCGCAAAATTGAACAACAGTACCAGAAATGTGAAGCAATCGATGGGGACACTGAATTTTCTGATCAGAAACAAGGCAATCTCGCCGCCCAGGAAGAGTAAAACGATGAAGGAAGAGAAACCCATGTAGAGTTTCAAGAAGTGAGTGCATCTGAAGTAGAACAGCAGCACCAAGAGGAAAGTAACCGCAGTGACCACAACCACAAAGACAAGGGCGTTCAAGAGGGCACCTTTGAGCTTGTCCCAGGTTGAATCCGAGGTTGTCTCGCTGTAGGCGATTGTAGCGATGGTGTTTATGGTGGGCGGCGAGGAGGAGGAGCCGGAGTTGAGAACAGCGACCAGAATCACCACCAGGAACATGCAGATTGAGACCGGTGTTACGATTCTCACGATTTCTTCCCCCAGAGAGTCGATTATGCTACCACCGGCTCTGTGGTTTTGTTGGGCGGCCATTGGGGAATTGTGGGTCCTTCTCTCTTATACTCGCTCCTCCACTCCAACGCTTGTCTAGCTCTCCAAATGGTTTCTGGCGAAGGCGATGATTGACGGCTTTGGAGCAGTCGAAGAAGAAGACAACAACGCAGAAGCGGGGTGAAGGAAGGAGTCCTTTGCGATTTCGGGCTTCTAATCTCTGTAGTAGCAGGCAGGTCCTCCTCTCTTTCTTGTCGATTTGATTCTGTAGATCTGCTCAGCAGAGCTCCTCCTCCCACTCCACAGGACGAACCCGATCGAGGCCTCATGTAACCACTAGGACTTATGTGTCGAAAAGGGTTAATTTGGGGTGTCACTTGTAATTGACCTATGCCTATAAATAGGTTGTGTTGTAAATTGTAATTGGCAACAACATCAAATAACAAAATTACTAGCTTTGACCCGGTCCGTTGGACGGAATACTTTAATTTATTAATTATGGAATGTGGAAGAGAGATAGAAAAAAAAAATTATTTGGGTCAAACTCACAATTTGAATCTATTTGAGTTCATATTATTATACTTATAAAGAAATATCGACCATCTAGCTATTCGCATTATTCCAATTCACACCTTCATTATCGGTGTTTTCACATTTATGTTTATTATCCAAAAATTACTTTAGAGTTGATATATTTTTTTTAGCCAAAGTAATAGGTCTCTAATTTAAACTCAAACTAAATAGTCGTTTATTGGTATAACCTTCAAGTGATATTACCAAATATGATTTGACTAGTAATAAATTGGGTTTGGGAAGGATGTTTTTTGCAATTCATAGTGGAGGGAATTTTTTAGGCCACGTTTGACATTAGTTGTTCATTCACCACCACTTCCAACGCTAAGGTATCACTTTCCCATAAGACTTTTTAATTTACTGCGAAATGAGATGATCTAAATGCTTTTAGTTTTGGGTTTCAAAATAGTAAATTCGCAATCACTTATTTACATAGTTTCCATCTCCTACTTTTAAATGTGTGAGATTTAAAGTTTCTTTATCTAAATTTCATAGCAAAATATGAACCTGTAAATATTCACAGAGGTGAATGTACAACTAAAGATCACAATTGAAAACTAAGCAAAATTTAGCTATATAAAAGTATTTGAGTAAAATATGTTTGGAAACTGAAATTGCATGCATTAGTGAATAATAGAGTTCTTAATTCATATATATATATATGGGCAGTTCTACGGTGCCCAGGGCAAAATCCGGGGTACGGGTAACCGGGGGCAAGGAAAATTACCAAAAGCATCACGAAGCGTTTATGCTTTATTAATTGGACTTCAACCTAACTGTACCCGGTTTAATGATATCGATTAAGAGGTTAAACCCTATGGATATGACCCGCCGCCCTAACCAATTTCCAGTCTCCCTTCTACGATCCCTCATTCGCCTTGGAGGGTCCCCTCTAAGTTCGAAGTTCGATCATAAGCTGCCTATCAAATCTGAAATCTCCAACAAAATCATCGTTTCGAAACCCAAATCCTTTTATTATTTGATCCACATTCGATTTAGCTCCCTATCCAATCTCAAATCCCCAACATCATCATGTTTCATACGCCAAATCTATGTATCCACATTCAAAGAGAAGATCCCCATCCAATATGAAATCCTCACATAATCATCGTTTTGAACCCCAAATCCTTTTATCCACAAATCGACGTTTTGTTCATCGCCATTTTATTTCCGTGCGGAATTTACTCGCCTATCTCTTTCTAACACGATTACGGCGACCATGTCTATTATTGTGTTCATCAAACTTTTCGTTTGCAAAAGAACCCTTGAAAGAGGTTTGCTAACCCTAGGGTTCATGTCGCTAGTGCTTTGTCATCTTGTCTTAGCGTTATTGTCATTTTCTCGAAACTTCTATCACTCGGTGAAATTAAGGTTTCCTGATATGCAGTGTTCGTCTCGCCCAGAGGATTGAGGAAGGAGATGAAGAAGACCTAATTTGATTCGAATCAGATGGAGAGGTCTCCTTAATGTGTGTTTATGTATTAACGGTGCGTTTAGGACTAATTCTAGTTGGACTGTGTCTGATCATTGATTTTTGCAGGCTTTTAAATAACATTCAAACGTGGGCTTGTACATGGACCCATGACACCTAGTTTGTTGATAATAGATACTGAGTTCCGGATTGTCATTAGGTTGGGCCTTTGATAATTGTCTATCTCAGTGGCGATTCTTTGTTTTACTTATTTTCATCTGCTTCTGCTTCTAAAATCCTGATCATTCATTGAGTTCACGCAATTTAAACATAATTCTGTGTTCCAACTTTTTTGGGATTTGGTAAATGCTAGCGTGTCTCTTTACACATTTAGCGGTACGAGGTAAACTACAATCCGCCCAATTTAACTCTTCATTAATTGAGATCCCATTCCACTCTCTCACCGATTTCCCCTCTTTATGCAATGCACTCGTACATAACAAACCTCTTGTAGACTAATTAGAGGCTTGTGGTTGGATACTGAGTGAGGATATTTTTTTAATTTATGTTTTGAAACGAAAGTTAGAATTTCACTTTTGAAGTACCTATGTACTTTAGTTGGGCAAGTATTTTCAAAATGTAAAATTTTATCAGCGTATAGGTATACGATTGTTGTATAAGGTGTTGATGTTAAAGGAAATGGTTACTGACTGCTTAGGGTATTAGGTTGTTGATGGTATAGAGTATATGGTATATGGGTAGGTTATAAGGTGTTGATGGTTTAGAGCATATGGTATCGATTGGTTAAAGGGTGAGGGTAGGTGTTGTCTTATTTTTTCTCGATTTTATATTTTCTTTATATCTGCTTATAAATGCTGATCATGCCTTATTACTAAAAAAACGTAGACATAATTATTGTAGCGTGACACATTTATCAGTACTTAGACATAATTCTTTATATCTGCTTATAAATGCTGATCATTTATTGTTTGATTTGAACCTGCGTGTTTTTGCTCCGAATGATTTTGTAGTGGCGTGGTAAAGACAATCCGTCCAATTTAACTCTTCATTAATTCCCCCTTTTCTTTTCTTTTTTGGTAGAATAATTACCCCTTTTCCACTCTCTCAGTCCCCGCCGAAGTTGAAACAATCCCTTGTGATATATTTATCGTTCATTTTAACCCTTCACTTAATAAGAAAGCGAAATTATGCAAAATGGTCATCAATGTGATGTAGCTTAATTGGTTAATTGTCCGTTATTTGCTTAGTCAATAAAGTAGAGGTTTGTGGTTCGATACTTAGTGAGTATCAATTTTTAATTTATGTTTTGAAAAGCAAGTTATAATTTTAATTTATCAGCGTATAGGTATACGATATTGTATAAGGTGTTGATGGTTTAGAGTACATGGTATTGGGTTAGTGTATTGATCATCTCCATCCCTAAAATACGATATTGTATAAGGTGTTGATGGTTTAGAGTATATGGTATTGGGTTAGTGTATTGATCATCTTCATCCCTAAAATTGAACAACAATTTCTAAACGAGGTCCCTACCGCCACATCATCAATTTTAGCAATTCATCACTTATCAATTTCTATTCATCTACATCCCTAAATTATGGTAGCAATTGCCAAGGTGGGTTCCATTTTATATTTCAAAGGAAATACTTATTATACATTGAAAGTTGGGGATGGAGATAGAAGAAGGTGTTGTTGGTATACAGTATAAGGTCTTGAAGGTTATGGTATAAGGGAGGAGCAAGGTGTTGATGGTTTAAAGTATATATGTTATTGATTGGTTACGGTATAAGCCTATAAGGTGTTGTTATTGTTGTAGAGTATATGGTATTGATTGGTTCGTGTATTAGGGTTTGGTTTAGGGTTTAGGGTTTAGGGTTATGATTCAAGCTAGAATAACATAAACCAGATCAATAGAGTAATGTTGGTAAACGAAAAAGTTGGTTAATCTACAAATTCAGACTATTTATAAAAGCACATCCCCATTTCCCACCGTCAATTCCTAAACTTTTCGCTTAATCCGATGGTGAAATACCTTCGATCCTTGTCGCGTGCGTGTCACCCAATCAGATATTGCCGAATTCGGAAAGTCGCTTTTGCCCATAACCAATGCTGGCGTTACCAAGGCCGAGGCAGTGGTAGGGAGTGTAATTTTCTGTAAATGTGAAGGGAGGGAAAGTAAAAGTAATTACGAGTCAATCTTTAAATTCGTTAATGAGTGAAGGAGAGACCGTGCTCCGAAACCCGAGTGGCACTCATCTCCTGCTGCTGTTCGTTCCTCCTCCTCTCAATCCCTGAAAAGAACCCTTTCTTCCATCTTCTCAATATGAAACTCCAAAAATCAACCCCATCCGCCTCTTCGTCCTCCTATCCCATGCTTTATTTTCGGGTGCAGTGGTACAACTAAATCCTTCGTTGTATTGTTTCTCCTTTTCTCTCCATGCAGGGTCTTTGTTAGAGGCAGGGAGGGGAGCAATGACAATAAGTCGCCGTCTGAATATCGCCGAAAGAATCATCACATGTTGTTACGATTCCATAATAGGTGTTGTGGAACCCTACTTCATGTGGTGGTTCTTTTGTGCCACATTGACGCGTACTTGTTGATTATGCTCCGAAAATCAACCCCATCCGCCTCTTCGTCCTCCTATCCCATGCTTTATTTTCGGGTGCAGTGGTAATGATGAGACTGCGTATTATTTTAGATCTCATTTCCTTTCATTATGTCATTTTTAGATCATGACTGTTAAACTAAATCCTTCGTTGTATTGTTTCTCCTTTTCTCTCCATGCAGGGTCTTTGTTAGAGGCAGGGAGGGGAGCAATGACAATAAGTCGCCGTCTGAATATCGCCGAAAGAATCATCACATGTTGTTACGATTCCATAATAGGTGTTGTGGAACCCTACTTCATGTGGTGATTCTTTTGGGCGACATTGACGCGTACTTGTTGATCATGCTCCCAAAATGTATACAAGATGGGAAAGTTGCCATATGTATAATAGGATAAAATAGGGAGGGAAAGTACAGCTTTTTGTTTTTGTTGGACTCTATGTAACATTTGTTTATATTTGTATACTGTTTTGTTATTTTTTCTTCTGCTTCTCTTTTCGCTTCCATGGCGGCTTCCAAAAGTGTTTGAGATCTTCTAAATCTGCGAGAGATCCTCCACTCCCAATAAAAATACTGTACTTTGTACTATTAGCGTTTGAGATCTTCTAAATCTGCAGGGGATCCTACACTCCCAATAGAAATATTGTACTTTGTACTATTAGCGTTTGAGATCTTCTAAATCTGCAGGGGATCCTACACTCCCAATAAAAATACTGTAC